ACCCAGCAGGAGGAGAGAAATTATAACGATCAGAGCAGAAATCAATGAAATAGAAACCAAAAAACAGTAGAACAAATCAACGAAACTAGGAGCTGGTTCTTTGAAAGAATTAATAAGATTGATAAACACCTGACCAGACTTATCAAAAAGAAAAGAGAAAGGACCCAAATAAATAAAATCATGAATGAAAGAGGAGAGATCACAACCAACACCAAAGAAATACAAGCAATTATAAGAGCATATTATGAGCAACTATATGCCAACAAATTTGACAATCTGGAAGAAATGGATGCATTCTCAGAGACATATAAACTACCTAAACTGAACAAGAAAGAAATAGAAAACCTGAACAGACCCATAACCAGTAAGGAGATTGAAACAGTCATCAAAAATTTCCCAACAAATAAGAGCCCAGGGTCAGACAGCTTCCCAGGGGAATTCTACCAAACTTAAAGAAGAATTAATATCTATTCTTAAAATATTCCAAAAAAGAGAAATGGAAGGAAAACTTCCAAACTCATTTTATGAAGCCAGCATTACCGTGATCCCAAAACCAGACAAACACCCTATCAAAAAAGAGAATTACAGACCAATATCCTTGATGAACACAGATGTGAAAATTCTCACCAAAATAACTAGCCAATAGGATCCAACAGTACATTAAAAGGATTATTCACCACGACCAAGTGGGATTTATTCCTGGGCTGCAAATTTGGATCAACATTCACAAATCAATCAGTGTGATACAATACATTAATAAAAGAAAGAACAAGAACCATATGACACTCTCAATAGATGCTGAAAAACCATTTGACAAAGTACAGTATCCTTTCTTGATCAAAACTCTTCAAAATGTAGGGATAGAGGGTACATACCTCAATATCATCAGAGCCATCTATGAAAAACCCACAGTGAATATCATTCTCAATGGAGAAAAACTGAGAGCTTTTCCGCTAAGGTCAGGAACACAGCAAGGATGTCCATCATCACCACTGCTATTCAACATAGTACCAGAAGTCCTAGCCTCAGCAATAAGACAACAAAAAGAAATTAAAGGCATCCAAATCAGCCAAGAAGAAGTCAAACTATCATTCTTTGCAGATGATATGATACTTTATGTGGAAAACCGAAAAGACTCCACTCCAAATCTGCTAGAACACACACAGGAATTCAGTAAAGTGTCAGGATATAATGCACAGAAATCAGTTGCATCTCTATACACCAAAAACAAGACTGAAGTAAGAGCAATTAAGGAGTTGGTCCCATATACAATTGCACCCAAAACCATAAGATACCTAGGGAAAAACCTAACCAAAGAGGCAAAGAATCTATACTTAGAAAACTATAAAGTACTCAGGAAAGAAAGTGAGGAAGACACAAAGAAATGGAAAAATGTTCCATGCTCATGGATTGGAAGAACAAATATTGTGAAAATGTCTATGCTACCTAAAGCAATCTACACATTTAATACAATCCCTATCAAAATACCATCTTTTTTTTTTCCAAAGAAATGGAACAATACTTCTAAAATTTATATGGAACCAGAAAAAAACCCAAATAGCCAGAGGAATGTTGAAAAAGAAAGCCAAAGTTGGTAGCATCACAATTTCAGACTGTCATCATCAAGACAGTGTGGTACTGGCACAAAAACAGACACATAGATCAATGGAACAGAATAGGGAGCCCAGAAATGGACCCTTAACTCTATGGTCACCTAATCTTTGACAAAGCAGTCAAGAATGTCCAATGGAAAAAAGACAGTCTCTTCAACAAATGGTGTTGGGAAAATTGGACAGCCACATGCAGAAAAATGATACTGGACCATTTCCTTACACCACACACAAAAATAGACTCAAAATGGATAAAAGACCTCAATGTGAGACAGGAATCCATCAAAATCCTTGAGGAGAACACAGGCAACAACCTCTTCAACCTCAGCTGCAGCAACTTCTTCCTAGAAAAATTGCCAAAGGCAAGGGAAGCAAGGGCAAAAATGAACTACTGGGACTTCATCAAGATCAAAACTTTTGCACAGCAAAGGAAACAGTCAATAAAACCAAAGGACAATGACAGAATGGGAGAAGATATTTGCAAATGACATATCAGATAAAGGGCTAGTATCTGAAATCTATAAAGAACTTATCAAACTCAACACCCAAAGAACAAAGAATCCAATCAAGAAATGGGCAGAGGACATGAACAGACATTTCTGCAAAGAAGACATCCAGATGGCCAACAGGCAAATGGAAAAGTGCTCCACATCACTCAGCATCAAGGGAAATACAAATCAAAACCACAATGAAATACCACCTCACACTAGTCAGAATGGCTAAAATTAACAAGTCAGAAAATGACAGATGCTGGTGAGGATGCAGAGAAAGGGGAACCCTCCTACACTGTTGGTGGGAATGCAAGTTGGTGTAGCCACTCTGGAAAACAGCCTGGAAGTTCCTTAGAAAGTTGAAAATAGAGCTACCCTATGACCCAGCAATCACACTACTGGGTATTTACCCTAAAGATACAAATGTAGTGATCCAAAGGAGCATGTGCACCCGAATGTTTATAGCAGCAATGTCTACAATAGCCAAACTATGGAAAGAACCTAGGTGTCCATCAACAGATGAATGGATAAAGAAGATGTGGTATATATATACAATGGAATACTATGCAGCCATCAAAAGAAATGAAATCTTGCCATTTGTGACGACAGAGATAGAACTAGAGGGTATTATGCTTAGCAAAATAAGTCAATCAGAGAAAGAAAATTATCATATGATCCCCCTGATATGAGGTATTTGAGAGGCAAAGTGGGGAGTTTGGGGGGATAGGGAAGGAAAAAATGAAACAAGATGGGATCGGGAGGTAGGCAAACCATAAGAGACCCTTAGTCTCACAAAACAAACTGAGGGTTTCCTGGGGAAGAGGGTTAGGGAGAGGGTGGTTGGGTTATGGACATTGGGGAGGGTAGGTGCTATGGTGAGTGCTGTGAAGTGTGTAAGTCTGATGACTCACAGACCTATACCCCTGGAGCCAATAATACATTATATGTTAAATAAATAAATAAACAAACAAACAAAGTGGGAAAAAATTGAAAATATTTTTAAAAGATAATATAATAAATTTAAAAAAAAACAAGAATAATCCAATTCAATAATTCAGTGCAACCAGAAAAAAAAATGTGATTCTACGTTTTAGTCTTATTGAAAATGAATGAGGCTGCCAGTTCCCATGTCAACAGCAGTATTTTGGGAAGCTAAGCATGGTGGGTGAATCCTGCAGTGTGTGTGGATTACTGTAGAGGTACCACCTGGGTTTTCAGAACAAGGGAGTGACTTCTTGAGGCCAGGTTAAAAATATAAGTGAAAGAAAGTAGATCTCTGGCTTTTGTTTTCCCTCCTTTTTACTTCTTTCTCCTCTTTGTACAAGGTTTTGGGTTTTCTCACAAATGCTGCATTTAGTTTTAGTTCAGTTTATCATCACCTTCCCAAAGTAGAGCTGGTCCACATTTTCTGGGTGAAAGTCTTTGACAGGAAGAAGAGACCCAGTGCCAAATGTTCCAGAAAACTACCCTATTCTAGAATGACTTGGGTACCTTCTAGATAGATCAAGAAATCTTCATCTAAGATTTCAGAATGCAGCCTTGAGACCCAGCATCTCAGGTCTTCTCTTGACTCCTTTTAGAAGTAACAACATAGGGACACCTGCGTGGCTCAGTCGGCTCAGATCATGATCCCAAAGTCCTGGGATGGTGTCCTGCATCAGGCTCCTTGCTTGGCAGGGAGCCTGCTTCTTTCTATGTCTCTGCCTGCCACTCTGCCTGCTTGTGCTCTCTCTGTCTCTCTCACAAGTAAATAATAAATAAAATCTTAAAAAAAAAAAAAAAGTAACAACATAAAATTACAAATTCTTTACCCCCAATCCACATCCAATTCTCCATCAAACACCTCTACACACTGTATTTGTTACCATGCCCTCACATTTGCTCATATTGCCCCCAGTTTTAAAATACTTTTTTAATCTCCAGCCATTCGTCCAAACCCTGACCATATCACCTCCTTTTCAATCATATCACCTCTTTCTGAGGTCCTTCTTTTTTATACTGATGACCTATTTCATGAAACCCTACAGCATTTACCATCAGGCTTACCCATATAAATACTTACTCTTGTAATTTCTTGTTTTCCTACGTTTCTTAAGTTTTTACATGTTTAGGGTCTAAATTGCACACCTGTAAGGGGCCGGGCCCATCATTTGGTATCCGCCCTTCGACCTAGTTCGTGCTAATAGGAATTGCTTCAGTTCTTCTCTCAATTCTACAGTGGTTCTCAAGTTGTCATAGTTCTCCAAACACTGATTCCTGGATCCATCTGTTCAGTAATCCTCCAACTTCAGTGTCATCAAGGGTGCCCTTTAAAAGGCAGACTCCTGGGCCCTACCCCCAAGAGAGTGTTTCATCTGAGCTTGAATAAATTCAGCAATCTGCCTTTGTAAAAGTGTCCCAAGAGGGCACCTGGGTGGCTCAGACAGTTGAGCATCCAACTCTTGATTTCAGCTGAGGTCATAATCTCAGGGTTGTGAGATCAAGCCCTGTGCTGAGCTCCACACTGGGCATGGAGCCTGCTTAAGTTTCTCTCTCCCCCTCTTTCTCTGCCCCCTCCCCAACTTTTTCTACAAAAAAAAAAAAAAAAAAAAAAGTCCCAAGTGATTCTAAGGCAGGTGATTCAAGAACCACATTGGGAGAAAGGCTAAAATTGGGGGGATGTGGGGAAGAACTGTAGAGAAAAGGAGTTTTGCCACACCTGGCTGCTTCTGCATCTGGGGATGATTAACTGGCCTAAGTTTCTGCCTAGATAAAACTTCCAGGTTGATGATTCAGCAGAAGTAAAGCCACATGTTTAGGTGGCCAGTCAATTGTGCAAGGCTCTTGGCGCATATAAAAAGGACATCAACTGCCATCCCATGGCCATTGATTCATCAAGGAAAGCATGAGATGTGATTACCTTTGTTCAGCTGGAGCAGGATGGTGAGAAGTTCAATGGCTCATCTAGTATTCCTCAGCAGCCCCTCAGTGGCCCTGTGAGACCTTCAGTTTGGGATATTCCAGGAACTGGGGACAAGAAAAACACATGAGCCAGGTTGGGTGTGGCAACGGAACCCAATGGGAAGAGACTGGCATTCAATGTCTGAAGGCCTAGATTCTTTTTCCCGGTCTGCACAAAGTACTTGTTGAGCTAAGGTTTTAAGCATGCTGCCAAGAGTTTCCTTATATTTTCTCATTTACTGTGCTCATCGGTGCTATGAAGTAGACACTGCCAATATCAACACCTTCATTTTAAAGTTAAAGAAATCAAGCCTCAGAAGTGTTTCTTGCCCATTGTTATACAACTTTAAGTGACAAAATTGAGTGTTTTGAAGCCAGGGAATTTGACCCCAGAAGTCCAGAAGAACTTCACTCCTCGGTCACTGTCTAATCCAGGTATCCCTTCTACATGCATCTAAGATGTGTAAGTAGGATTATACCAGCTTTACCTGTTGCGCACGTTGACCTAAGGGTTCATGTTAAAAGGTAGGTATGCAAATGCCTATAAAGTACATGATATTATCCCAGTGAAATCATGGCAAATGCAAATGTCTATAGAGGACAAGCAGATGATTGGATGCAACGGGCACCAGGCTCCAAGGAGGTCAGTCCCATTGTTGCAATGTAGCAATGCAGGCCAAGAATAACAAGATTTCCAATATTTCAAGAGAATCCATGAATTCATAGTTTTATGTGAAATATTTTTTTAAAATATTGGCCTGTATTTAAAAAAATAAATAAATAAAATTTTGCAGATCAATAAAACAGGTCAAAGAAACCCCTGGCTTGAGACATATGCAAATAAAACTATAAAGTCTTACTGTTAAAAAGATGCCTTGTACTAGGAGATAGGAGGTAGATACTATATACATCTGTACTTGGATAATTTAATTAGCCTTCTAGTGTCACCATTTTCTGATCTTTTTTCCAGCTTTATTGAAATATAATTGATAAACAACATTGTGCAAATTTAAGATACATAATATAATGATTTGATATATCTATATATTGCAAAATGATTATCATAATATGGTTAATTAACATACTCATTACCTCACATAGTTACAAATTGTATATGTCATGAGAACATTTAAAATCTATTTTCATAGAACTTTTAAACATATAATATAGCATTGTTAACTATAGTCACCATGCTGTTATATTATATCCCAGAATTTATTCATCTCATATTTAGAAGTTTATACCCTTTAACTCCCTTCACTCATTTCCCCACATCCTATCCTTCACCTCTGCAGATCACAAACCTGTTCTTTGTTTCTATGAATTTGCTTTTTTTAGATTCCACATACAAATAAGATCATATAGTATTTGTATTTCTTTGTCTGGCTCATTTCACTTAGCAGAATGTCCTCAAGATGTATCCATGTTGTCACAGATGGCAAGATTTCCTTCTTTTTTATGGTTGAATAATATTCCATTGTACCTATTTACCACATTTTCTTTCATCCATTTATCCATTTATGGACACTTGTTTACATGTCTTAGCCATTGTACATAATACCTCCATGACCATAGGGGTACAGATATCTGTTTGAGATAGTGATTTTATTTCCTTTGGATATATACCCAGAGGCAGAACTATTGGTTTATATGGTATGGTAGTTCTATTTCTAATTTTTTAAGGAATCTTCATACTGTTATCCATAGTGACTTTACCAATCTAATCTTTAAAATGGGTCTGATGGAAAGAAGTTGGGCTGGATGTTGTCTCAGTCTCCTATCCCTATCAGAGTCCTACAACTAAAAATCTTATATTTTTGTATTAAGAGTTTTGGTTTTGAGTAGATTGTGTTATATTTGAAGAGATGGAAAACAAAATAAAAGAATGTTATATTCCTTTTGATGCACCTTACAAAAGAGCATCTTTTGTCTACTCTTGCCAAGGGAAAGAGTGGTTGGGAATGAGGAATGTAAACTTCAAAGGCAAGTCAACTCTGGGAGGACAGGATAAGTACAGCAACTGGGAATCTAGCCATGGGATACATTTGGCAAGGGTTAGATTAAGCAGTGTTTGAAACTTGAGAACTGGGACTTTGGTGCAAAATGTGCTCATTTAGAGAAGAGAGCACTCTAGGGGACATGGACTGTGTTTTCAAATATTTGAAAGACTGTCAAATAGGAAGAAGGATAATCTATCCTATTTCCCCAGGAGTAGAATTAGCATCAATGGGGGGAAAAGAGAGTCTTTGGTTGAGTACTAGAAGCATTCTGAAAGTTGCCAAATATGAACAAGGCTACCCCAAACTCAAAACAGTGATTTTGCTGTCCCTGGAGGTGTTTAAATGGATGCTAGAAGTGCACTTATTGAAGACATTACAGAAGGGATTTTCCTGTTAAATGTTGGAAGTGGATGAATGAGGAGAGTAGAAGTTCAAGACCCTCAGCTTTTTCCAAGCCCATCCAGCTTCCAAGTCTAACTACCCATCAAAACCATATGGGAAGTATACTTCACATGGATTAAGCAGAGAGACCCTGACTCATCCAAGTTAAGAGAGAGAGCCTAGGAATCTCTATTTAGCAAGCAACTCCAAGTGATGTCTGCAGGAGTAGCAAGGCAAGTGTTATCTTGGTACAAGATAACACACTCCTTACTTGCTGACCTAAGTGCCTTGATCCATAACAGAACTAATTTGCTTTCTTTGAGATTTACAGACCCTTGGCCTTGAAGAATGAAGGACCAGAAGTTTCCCACGCCACAGAGTCCAGCAACTCTCTTTGAAGATGCCTCAGATTTCTGATTAGCCCAGCAATTTTGTTTAGCAAAATGTTTTCCTTTTTTAAGGCCATACAACTGACTTTACTAACTTCCCTTTGTGCATCTGTAGACCTTGCCCTCCTTTGCAGAAAGGACTTCATGAAGCACACACTGGACCCCCTCACACAGCGCCCAAGCTAAGACAATGACCACAGCCAGCACTACCAAGTCTGTCCATGATCAAGAAATGTTACAGCCTACTGTCCTCCCTTCAGTGATTAACTATCCTAAATTCCTTTAAAAAAACAAAAAGCAACCCTGGGCCAGGCAGAAGCCTTGGAGTTGGCTTTTAAACAAGAGTCTGCCTTCTCCCCACGTTGCTGGACTCCTGAATAAAGTTCAAATTCCTTTCCAATCAAAACTTGTCTCTTGAGTATTAGCCTTTCAAGTGACAGGCAGTGGAACTTGGGGTTCAATAACACAGGTATTCTATAATTTCTTTTCAGTTTGTTTATCTCATTACATCCTCAGCCATCCCTGTGTGGTATGTGTGTGAGGAAATTGAGCCTTTGAGAGATCATGTACCTGATGAGTGACAGAGCAGAACTGTCCGATACGTTTTACTCCAAAGCCTCTTATCCACTATATATACACAGAACCACAACTGTTTCTTGCCTACAGAAAAGAACTACTCTTAGGATCAGGAGTCTTGGGAAGACACAGAAGATGTGCCTTCAGGAAGAGAATTGCGCCTGCTCCAGGACTTTGAGCACCATCTCCTGAAAAATCTTAGAAGCAAAAGTTATGATTGGCAGGATCCTGCTTCACTCTTGGGCTCTAACAGGCTCTGTGAGTACAGGAGAGGGATAGGGATAAGGGGGAGGGGAAGGACAGGGATAAGGGGGAGGGGAAGAGGTAAAAGATAACCTGAAAGAGAGAGATTTCCCAAGTGATAGAATATTTATCTGATTAATGCCTTGGGCTACCTACCCATGTTTAATGAAACTCTGATTTCTGAGCCACACAGAGTTTTCTATAAGGAACTGATTGGGCAGAAATGTGAATATGTAAAGCAAAAACCAATAATACAAATACAACTACAGTGACCTGTTTCAGAGGAGGGGCAGTGCCCATGTTGTTGTAAATTTCAATTTCCCATGCATCTCCAGCTGCAAGGCAGAGCCAGCCCGTTGTGATGATCAGACAGCTGCGTTCACCTTTTCAGTTTATTTTTCCCTGAGGGATAGGACAATGAAAATAAGAAAGTCAATTTTCTTTTCATCTCAGGCAGATTGAATTTTGCTAAACTAAAACAGGCTCTGGATAAGTAAAGGTCAGCCCAGCCTTGGATCTTTTTCTTCGTTAACAAAAAATCAACACCAGCCTTGTTGCTTCCAGCTCTTTTAAATAAAGATACTCAGAGATGCCATCAGCAGGACCCAGTGAGGTGTGCATTACCTTGTCAAAATCATGAACAGCTGAGGCAGGAGACAATTATTACTTATGTCAATGTGTATATATTTTTCATATGGCATGGTAAATATATTTTACCTCATTAAATATCATCCTTAATATTAAGACTAGAAAAAATTACTTTCTGTAAAGAACAATGTGATCATTGTGTTACCCAACTCCGGTTACGCAACTGTTTGTGTCCCTCAGATACAGGAATGTCAACAAAGAAGGTCAGATGAGACATGTTGTGCTACTTTTCTCTTTACCAAAGTTTTGAGCTATGTTAATAGTCTTTTAATGGCACAAAGTACATATGGGATCTTCAGAGAGATTGCCTTAAAATTCTGTCAGCAAAGGTAATCTGGAGAGGCACAAGGAGGAAGAGTCAGGTGTGGTAGGGAGACCACCATGATGAAATAACAGGGAGCAGAAAGGTGCAAATGAGAATATAGCTTGTTTCAGAGGCAGTTTCTGTACTAAACCCATGGCAGGATGAGGAAAAAGGAAACAGATACACACAAAGAAAATGAGGTAACGAGAGCTTATCGCATAGGGACTCAACAAACATTTGAGAAATGGAACAGAATTTGGCAGCTCATCAGATAAAGAAGTTAAAGTTGATTTTAAGCTTGACGTTTATGTAACTAGAATATTGGTGGTAACGACACGGAGAAAGTTCGGGTTTAGGAGTAGGTGGAGACCAAAGCTTGGTTTTAACTAGCTGGCTTCACCAATGATTGCTATTGTTGGTGAAAATCAAAGGAATACACACACACACACACACACACACACACTATAAATTGTGAGGTGTCATTATAACATCAACCAGATACTTTTTTAAAATTTTTTAATTTTTTTATAAACATATCATGTATTTTTAGCCCCAGGGGTACAGGCCTGTGAATCGCCAGGTTTACACACTTCACAGCACTCACCACAGCACACACGCCCCCCAATGTCCATAACCCCACCACCCTCTCCCGACCCCCCTCCTCCCAGCAACCCTCAGTTTGTTCTGTGAGATTAAGAGTCTTTTATCAACCAGATACTTTTAATGAGATGTCATGATAACATGTAAATATGGTCTCCATATTTAAGAAATTGAGCAGATATTTTTAATACACTATGTTCTTTTTAAAACATCAACTAAAGGGTACGCAGGGGACTCAGTTGGTTAAATGACTGCCTTTAGCTAAAGTCATGATCTCAGGGTCCTGGGTTGGAGCCCTGCAATGAACTTCCTGCTCAGAGAAGAGTCTGTTGCTCCCTCTCCCTCTGCCCCTCCCTACCACCTACGCTCTGTCTCTCTCATAAATAAATAAATAAATAAAATGTCAACTAAAAATCAGAGTGTCATCTGGTAGATAGTAAGGTAGAAATAAAAGCCAATGGTTACATAGACAAAGGGTAATCTTAATGATAAATTTTTTTCCCAGCCCATGAAACTATTTTCAAGGAGAATAAAATGATGGTTTAGGGTGTTTTAGGATAACACATCATTCAGAAGCCTGTTGGGAAAATTAAAACCACATTCTGTTTCAACAGAATTAATTTAACAGAAGGAATTGGTAAGGTTATTACAAGGTCTTCAAGTAAGAAAAAGCTGAACTTCTCAGACCCAGGAAGGAAGGTCACATCTTCTAACAAGTGAGGCTCAAAGAGACCCAGGGGACTGAGATTCTGAGCTTCACCTGTGTCCACCCAAATATGTCCATTCCACTGTATAGACTCTTAGTCTTTTCAGATCAGTTCCCTGTCTTGAATTAGTAAAACTGTAAATTCAACTTAGTTTGTAATTTTACAACGTGCACCACAATTAAATTATGGTGTGATTTTCAATGAGATTAGATCCACCGAATCTATCCAGAGATAGATTACTTCTATCTCTGATTTTTAGAAAATTACTTTTATTAAATATAGTGTAGTACAATACAGTAAAAATTATACAAAGACATCAAACATTTAAAAAAAACTGTGTGGTAATGGGAGTTTTTTGAGATTGGCTTATAATGGGTTTTGCTTTTTTCTAAAAGGGTTCATCATTTATAAGATTTTATTTATTTATTTGATAGAAAGAGATCACAAGTAGGCAGAGAGGCAGGCAGGGGTTGGGGGGTGGGAAGCAGGCTCCCTGCAGAGCACAGAGCCCAATGCAGAGCTTGATCCCAGAACCCTGGGATCATGACCTGAGCCAAAGGCAGAGGCTTTTACCCACACAGGGCCCACCTTGAGGCCACCCAGGTGCCCCCAAGGATTCATCATTTATAAGAAAATAGGGTATCAGAGCCTAAAAACACTAAACCATTTAATTTGTTTATAATTTTTAAATTTGTCTATAAATTAAAGACTAGGGATTTTTGGAATTCCTTGCTTGGAAGCCTCATTGCCTTTACCATCAAATTTAACTTGTGGCTAAGAAAAAAAAAATTGAAACAATGAATGGTGATAAACATTAACTAGACTTATTGTGGTGATCCTTTTACAATATATACAAATATCTAATCATTATGTTATATATTATTATAGATATATAATTAATATATTATTAATAAATGTTATATGTATACCTCAATTTTTAAAAAATTTAATAATAATAATAATTCAACTGAAAAAAAAAATCCTTACCCGGTGGTGATAAAACACTTTTACAAAAATAGTAGTTTAATTTTCCTTATATAACAAGTGAAGGGAATTAGGAATATTTTTGTATGAGTTAATGTTCCCCACATTCTCTGGCATCCAAACCAAGTAGAAAAGAGGACTTCTCTGAGAAGGGGTTAAGCAAAGTAATAAGGAAGTAAAAAAAGAATAAAAAAAAAAAAAAAAACTAGATGTTGAGAGCTAAACTTCAAAGTGAAAGCATGAAATCTGGTTTCATGCAAACTCTTGTTGACAATTACAGTAAAAATTTCCAAGTAATCCTGAATGATCAGAAACAAGGGAGATTCAAGTTGTCTTGTGTAAAAGGAAAACATTTTGCAAAAGATTCTTGGTTAGCAGAAAAATTCTGATGGAAATTTCTGGTGACTGTATTTTTAAAATTTAGTCCTTCTAGAAAATTCTCTGCTTGATAATCAAGTTTAGGGATTTTGAGCAGTAAAAGAGGCAGGAAAACAACCTTCTTTACATGAAAAACTAAGGTTCAAAATTGCATATCCTTCCTCCAGGTTAAATGACATATTCTTAATTTTGGAGATAGTAATCCTCCTAGAAAGAACAATATGTCCAATGACAGCTGTTCTGAAATCCTAAATGAGAAGATAATAAATGGAAATGGGTCCTACTCCCAATGCTTGTCACTCTTGGAAAAGCAGAAAATTTAGCAGATTTAAAAAAAAAATTAAAACCTTCACATTTTTATTTTCTTGTGTTTACCCCTAATGCCAGCTTTTCAGTAGCAAGATCTTTTTCATCAAAAAAAAAATTATCAGCTGGGACGTGTGGGTGGCACAGTCGGTTAGGCGTCTGACTGTTTCAGCTCATGTGGTGATCTCAGGGTCCTGAGATCAAGACCCACGTAAGGCTCCATACTCGCCATGGAGTCTGCTTAAGATTCTCTCTCCCTCTCCCTTCACACCTCCTGCTCATGCTCCTTTTCTCCTCTCTCTCTCAAAAAAATAAATCTTTTTTCTTTTTTTAAGATTTTATTTATTTATTTGACAGAGAGAGACATAGCAAGAAAGGGAACAGAAGCAGAGGGAGTGAGAGAGGGAGAAGCAGGCTTCACAACCAGCAGGGAGCCCGATGCGGGACTCCATCCTAGGACCCCAGGATCATGATCTGAGGCAAAGGCAGACGCTTAATGACTGAGCCACCCAGGTGCCCCCAATAAATAAATCTTAATAAAAAGAATTATCGGTTAGTACTTTGTTGCATTTTCTTTTTTTACATTTGCAATCATTTCAAGTAGCTAGAATTAACTCACCTTATTGTTGGTATCCTTTGGGATTTGGCTCTAACACCACTGTTTGGATCAGTGTTACTAGATGTCTTAGTGTGTTTAGGCTGCTGTAACAAAATAACATAAACTAGGTAGTTTATAAACAACAAAAATTTATTTCTCACCATTCTGGAGGCTGGGAATTCCAGGCGCATGGTACCGACAAATTCAGTCTGGTGAGAGCTCACATCCTGGTTCACGGTTACCACCTTTCCATTGGATCTTCACATGGCAGAAGGGGTGAGGGATGTCTCTGGAGTTGTCTTTTATAAGTGCACTAATTCCATTCATAAGGGCTCTACTCTATTCCCTAATCACCTCCCCAAAGCCTCACCTCTAATACTATCACCTTGGCTATTAGGATTGCAACATATGGATTAGGCGGAGGAGGGAGTGACATAAGCATTCAGATCATAGCACCAGATCTCTTGCCAGTGAGGGCTCAGTTGGCAAGATACAGTTTTCAAATACTCACCTAGAAACTAACAATCACCATACACCTAGCCCCAAAATAACCCTGCCCTGGCAACCTATGGGTACACATCTTCATCCCTGCTAAAGCTGCATACTGACATTCTGTAACCTCCCATGAGGAGCTCACAAGCACTGAGAGCCAGCATGGACAAGACACTGGCTCTGCAGATCCAAAGACAAGGCACAGAACCTGTCCTCAAGATGTTCATAGCCTTCTGAGGGGAGAGAAAAGACTGTGCAATGAAGTAAGAGCTAAAATAAAGGGTTCTTGGGCTCTGGAGTGAGCACAGTGCAGGATAGAGGATGGAGTGGGATGGGGACAGCAAGTCAGAACATATTTTTTTAAGATATGTGGTCTGATTCTTGAAACATGAATGGGGCTTCTAAGGTAGATAACAAAGAAGTAAGAAATTAATACCAAGAGCTGACACATGGGAGCACTCAGAGTGTGCCAGGAACCTGCTAAGTGAGATTTAAGCAGTACTACATCAATACCTCAACATTGCTATGAGGGAGACATTAGTATTACCCTTATTTTATGGATAAGGAAGTGGAAGCTCAGAGGAGTAAGTAATAGAACATTCAAACCCAGGTTACCCAGATCCAACACACCTGTGCTTAACCCCTGGGTCTTGCCTTCTGTATAGTAAGGAGTACAGAGGGCGTTTCTCTGTGGGTCTTCTGCAAAGACTGTGAAGAACAGATAAATCTTTCAGTCCATCTCCTCATTGCTCCTGTGTTCTAGACAAGGACAATGAGATGAACACAAAACTCTAGAACCCATCCTATCCCTAGGGATCCGCCACCACCAGGATCTGTCAAACAAGACCGAGAACTCCACTGTCCAGTAGAACTGTCCACAATGATGGCAACATTTCATAACTGTACTTGTAATGCAGAAACTACCAACTACCTGAGGAACTGAATCACTCATCTATTTAATTTTACGTAATTTTAATCTAAATAGCCACATGGGGCTGGTGGCTACGGTATTGAATATTGTAGGTACAGAGCATTCGAGTTGGAAGGAGCCATAAATCACTGCTATCCTGTGAACTATAAACATGTGTTCCCCGCTCTCAGGACCTTCAGAGCCCAGCAGATGAGCTAGCAAACACCAAACGCTCACAGTATTGACTATGTATTCACAATTGTTAAGTGTAACAGGATAAGGAGGTTGAAAGTACTGTGGGAGCTTGTAAAGGGAGGATTTTACCTGGGCTAGGGAGTCAGGAAAGCCCACAATCAATCCAAGGAGCAATTTCAAATAAGCCAGCTCAGTAACCACTTGTTGCCCAAATAGAACAGGAAAAAAAAAAAAAAAAAAGGCTCTTGCCACAAGCCAGCAAATGACGGGGCCCACAGCAGGCATTTACACCCTATGCCCAGGCCATAGCTTCGCCTTCTCTGGTAGACAGCTGTTTTGTGGGGCAAAGACTTCACTGCATCTTTACAGCAAATAACTTACTGACCCATTTATGACTTTTGGCAGAATAGTCAGTATTTTCTTCTTTGCTCGGCCTTTGCTGACAAAAGACTCTATCGAAATATTCTTTAAAATAAAGGCGGCGAAAGACTCCAAGTTGGACAAATTGAATATGGAAACAGAACATAACAAATTTTGTATGATTACTAAAACAACTTGAATTTTTTTTATAATGCACCCTTCATTTTCCCTCACAGTAACTACAAAAATTGGCTCATTTTAGTACCAGTCCTGTTCGCATGGCAGCAACACTCCAAATCTCCAAAAAAAAAAAAAAGAAAGAAAGAAAGAAAGAAAGAAACTGAAATACTTTTTATTTTGAAGTATGTGCTACAGATACATTTAGATTTTAAGCAGAAGCACAATAACCTAGAAATGATTTGGCATACCAAAAAAAAAAAAAAATGCCAACATAAAGACTGAATTTCAGGAAGAAGAAAAAAAAAAAAAAGCCTGTTGACCCTAAAGCAAAACTAACACTCACATTTAAAATAAAGAACCTCACACATAAGGAGCAGAACTCTTGAACTATTGTGAAGAACTGTGAACATTCCCACTCCAAAATGCAAGTCTAAACTTATGCTCATTCTTATTCAACACTTTTCTGAGACCCATAGCTATTCACAGAAAAAGGGGAATTTCTGAGTTTCCAGGGGATTCACTTCAGGCTTCTTTCGAATAGAGAGTTGTCCTGGATTGAGTGGAATTCAGCTCATAAAAACTAAGCCACTGCACCCTCATCAGACTGAACAAGTCCCTCACCAGCTAAGGGTGGGCTATGCAAAGTGACTTCCTTCCAAAGAGTATGGTAGAGAGAAGGGGAAAAGAGTGACATCACAAGAGAGAAAACTGGAAAATCATAAAACATCAGATAAATCCCAATGGAGGTCATTCTATAAAATTCCTGACCAATACTCTTCAAAAATGTCAAGGTGATCAAAAACATGTTATGTCTGATAAACTGCCTGGCCAAGAGGAGCCTATGGAGACACGACCACTCAGTGTAATGTAGTATCCTCAGTGGGATCCTGAAACAGAAAAAAAGGACATTGGCTTAAAAAAAGAAGAAAATATGAACAAAATATGGCATTTATTTAATAATAGTATCAATATTGGTTCATTAACTGCAACAAATGCACCATACTAAGATAAGATGTTATTAATAGGGGAAACTGGGTGTGAGGTCTATGGAAAGTCTCTGCACTATTTTTGCAATTTTTCTCTAAGTTTAAGCTATTCTAAAATATAAAGTGTATTTTTTTAAGATTTCATTTATTTATTTGTCAGAGAGCAAGCATGCACAAGCAGGGGGAGAGGGAAGGGAAGAAACAAACTCCCCACTGAGCGAGGAGCCCAATGCAGGACTCCATCCCAGGACTTGGGATCATGACCTGAGCTGACGGCCGGTGCTTAACTGACTGAGCCACCCAGGGGTCCTACAAAGTGTTTTTTTGTTTTTTTTTTTTGTTTGTTTGTTTTAAGCCTTAAGCACCCATGACTATCAGAATGTGGCTGCTTTCTCTGGTGTAAAGCTAGAGAATTGGGGGTGGAGGTCGTGTGGTTGTAGTGCCATCTGTGGCCAAGGGGGTCTCCTGAAGGGAATTCTCATGGATCCGTAAGCACTACTTTTTAAAGATTTATTTATTTATTTGAGGGAGAGAGTGCACGTGAGTGTGCGCAAGTGTGCGGAGAGGGCAGAGGGAGAGGGGCCCTCAGGCAGAATCCTTGCTGAGTGCAGAGCCTGATGCAGGGCTCCATCCCAGGACCCTGAAATCATGACCTGAGCTGAAACCAAAAGTCGGGCGTTCAACTGACTGAGCCAACGAAGCGCCCCTATAAGGACTATGTTATCCACGAGACTTTATGGTGTGAGACTGACGTGTAGCTCCAGAAAGGTGCTTTCCAGTTCCGGCCCCCAAAGCCAATCCCTTACAGTTGCTGTTTCACCTGTAACAGCTCTCAACAGAGGTGAAATTAGTGAACAAGGCAAATACAATCAAAAGCAGCCCTAAGGCCACAAAAGACCTTCTGCCCACACAAATGTATTTTCTGAGGCTTCTTGAGATTTATTGTCTTTCTTTGGCTGCCATTCCCTGAAAATGATAGAAGATGTTGTCCATCCAAGACGGTGGCTCTTTCTCTGGAAAGACAGCATGCTTTCCACTGGCAGAGCCAGAGTGAAGAAGGAGGTCAGGGGTGGGGGAGACGCCCTCACAGCCTGGCCTGCTGCTGCTTACAGAAGCTCCAATGTGCACGTCTGACAGTTCATCTTCTATTAATGTAGATAAAGAGTCAACAGATCTTTCAATGGGCTTCCAAAGGAAGTTTGGGTCAGGTAATACTATGATTTAAAATAACAGATTTTAGCTTTACTGCTTTATTATGATTCTCTCCAATTTAACTATATGTCACATTTTATTTAGGACCACCGTGTGCTGGATCGCAGGGAACACAGAACACAAGGATCCTTGTGGTCTGGACACATTTACTGCGTCCTGGATTCTGCTGACTCCCATGAACCCAGAGCCACTGCACCCAGCAGTCAATAAAACCAGCTCTGCCCAGGAAATGAGAGGCAATTTCATGTTTTAAAAGCCCTGGAGCCTCTATCTGGGATTGCCTCTCCTTCAACATGCAGACTTTGGGTCCACTTGCCTTGTCACCAGCTTTATACCCATCCAACCCTCTGGTGCCGAGATCTGACCTGCCGTGTGTCCCAGTCAGCTTTGGCTGCCATAACAGAACACCACAGGCAGCATGACTCAAATAACATTAATTTCTCACATTTTGGAGGCTGGAAGTCCAAGGTCAAGGTGCCAATAGGGTCAGTATCTGGTGAGACTGCTCTTCCTGGCTCGGAGACGGCCATCTTCTCCCTCTGCCCTCACATGGCTTTTTCCCTGAGCGGGCATGGAGAAGGAAAGTGAGATCTCCGGCGTTTCCTCCTCTTATTAGGGCACCAGTCCTGCTGGATTAGCACCCTACCCTTATGAGCTCGTTTAACCTTAATTACCTCCTTAAAGGCCCTAACTCCAAATACGATCATATTACGGATTAGGGCTTTGGCCTA